GGAAGGAAGGAAGGAAGGAAGGAAGGAAGGAAGGAAGGAAGGAAGGAAGGAAGGAGGGAGACCCTTGGAACAGCTGTCTTAGCACCATCAACCAGAAGAAGTTCAATACCGTACGATGGATGGACACATCTGGCCCGCTCAAGAGCCGTGCTCCTGGAGGGAGCCTCCTCTGGTTGGAAATGAGGCTGACGCGGAGGCGGAAGGTGGAGACTTTGCCAAGCCTCGCCAGAGCCCCGTATGGAGGCAATTATCAAAGGGGCACCGCTGCTGGTAGGCCCTCCCCTTCTCTGGCATCGGCAGCTGCCGGGGTCTGGGCAGGAAAACACCCTCCCAGTCTCCCGGCACATCCAGCCCGTAATGAATAGCAAGCCTCAGAGAGTGTGAAATAAATCTGTAGGTAAATGATAGGCCTCCACCAGGCTGGAAAACAAACCTCGGGTTTTTCAAGGCCGGTCCAAGCCATACCCCCTCGTCGCCTGCTTCAAATTAGAACATTTCCTTTCCAGATTCACAGGGTTTTTCGCTTCTTCTCCCCACCCTCTGCTCCGAAACAAGCTACGCCAGCTTGACAAGCGCAGCCTTTCCCTTTGCCAGCAGCGCTCCGGTGCGGCCAAAGAGGCCGACCCTGGCGCGCGGCACGTTCCCGACGGCTCTGGGCCTGATGGAGAGGAGAAGGAGCGCGAAAGCGGACCGTGGCTGTCCCGGCCTCCGAGCCGGAGCCCGTTCGGCTCTCCGTGCAGAGGATCCACGCCCGGGGAACGGACGCCACCCCGCTGTGCGATTTCATCAGCCGGTCGGCCCGCTGCAACCCGGTTCTTCTTCCTCGGCCCCGTCGCTGGGGGGCAACTGAGAGCGCAGGCCTGCGGTGGACCCTTGCCCTGGCGCTGGGTGGCGGGCAACTCTGCTTTCCACGTCAGCCTTGAACCGAATTCTCCCCTCTTTCCTCTCTCTTTCCCCACTCCATTCTCGCCATTCGAGAGGGAGGCTTCGGCGACTTACCGGTACTGTTGCCTTGTGTCGCATCTCCCCGCGTTGGTTTCTCGAAGTTTGGTTGCCAGGACTCTGATGATTTTGATAAACAGGATAAAATTCGCCTGTAAGACAAAAGGGAGGGAGGGAGGGAGGGGAGGGGGACGGGGAAGGAAGGAAGGAAGAAAAGGAGGAGGAGGAGAAGGAGAGAGGGAGGAAAAAGAGAAGGACAAGGACAAGGACAAGAATAAAAAGGAGCAGGAGCAGGAAGAGGAGCAGGAGCAGGAAGAAGAGAAGGAGCAGGAGGAGCAGGAGCAGGAGCAGGAGGATAGACAAGGAGAAGGAGGAGAAGGAGGAGGAGAAGGGAAAGGACAAGGACAAGGAGGAGAATGAGCAGGAGCAGGAAGAGGAGCAGGAGCAGGAGCAGGAGGAGAAGGAGCAGGAGGAGGAGGAGGAGGAGAAGGAGAAGGAGCAGGAAGAAGAGAAGGAGCAGGAGGAGCAGGAGCAGAAGCAGGAGCGGGAGGAGCAGGAGCAGGAGCAGGAGGAGAAGGAGCAGGAGGAGGAGGAGGAGGAGGAGGAGAAGGAGAAGGAGCAGGAAGAAGAGAAGGAGCAGGAGGAGCAGGAGCAGAAGCAGGAGCGGGAGGAGCAGGAGCAGGAGCAGGAGCAGGAGCGGGAGCAGGAGCAGGAGAAGATAGACGAGGAGGAGAAGAAGGAGGAGGAGAAGGGGAAGGAGAAGGAGCAGGAGCAGGAGCAGGGGCAGGAGAAGATAGACAAGGAGGAGGAGAAGCAGAAGGAGGGGAAGGGGAAGGGGAAGGGGAATGGAGGAGGAGAAGGAGGGTTGTGAAATTGATGTGTCTGGCAAAAGAGGTCTTGAAATTCCTCTTAAACATATCCCATGGTTGACTATTTATTCTCCACCTTTGGAAGAAGGTCTGACAGTTGGGACTTCAGTCGATAGGCCGGACTGTGAAGCCGCAGCCAGGACTCCCAGCCCCCTTTGGTGGCTCGGGGCTCTCTTCTTCCCAGCACCAGAGTTGTGCTTCCGTTACCTTAACTGGGCCTGACACTGAATCTCAAGGCAGCTGGTCCCCTCCGAAGGGGCCACCCTGGGCCATTGGCGGTGCCAGGAGAGGAGCAGGTCTATGGCATCTCCTCTACCTGCTTTGCTCTGCCCCGTCCCCACACCCCAGCTCAGCTGATCTTCTGCAGCCCTGGGATCTCTGCCGGACAGAAAGCCAACACTGGACGCGTGCTGTCGTGTGACCCAGTGGCTCTGAGAGAACTGGAGGCCAATGGATCCCTACTTCTTTGGGGAATTTGCTCCCACGAGCCATGGACGTGCCCAGCGACCCGGGTGGCTTTAAGGGGAATGGCTCAGATCCTGGGAAATTCCGTCTGGCAGAAGTTCCACCACCAGGAACCCCGAGGTGCCCCCTTCGATACCGGAGCTGATAGTTACCATTTGATCATTGCAACCGCGGCTGAGCCGAGGTCCAGGAAGCTTCTGGCCATGGAAAACAGGACCTAGCCTAAATCAGATCGTCTTAATCCCATCTTTACACCCGTTTTATCACCAAAGGGTACCTGGCTGGAAAGGTGTTTCGTACTGAGACTTTAAAAATAACCTTTTCAATACAAGAAGGGATGTGCAAAACTGCAGACGCTCCGAATCTCTCACCTTAGGGAGAGCTGGTCAGCAACGTAGTGGCTAGCTGACCTTGGCTGATCCCCAAAGGATAAGCAGGATCCACCCTGGTTAGTCCTGGGATGGGAGACCACTAGGAAATTCCAGGGCGGTAGACTAGAGGCTGGGACAGCAAGCCGCTTCTGTCTTGTTGCCAAGAAAACTACAAAGATGTGCCTAACAGATCACGGGGGATGAAGCTCAGTTTGAGAGAGCCTTTATCTTTGCCTTTAATGCTTACAAAATTCAGGAAAAAGCACTTCCTTCATTTTTATTTAGAAATAATTCTAGCTGGCTAAAAATTGGGGGAAAAAACAGGGAGAGAGATTAATACTGACGGAAGGGTCACTTTTGGTAGTTAGGATCTCCAAAACCTATTCCAGATTTAAATATATATATATATATTTAAACTTACCCACACCCTTCCTTTCCCTCCCCCCCCCCTTCATTGCAGCCGGGATCTGGAATAAATATGAACTGCACTCGGTTCAAACCCACCCAGAAGACCCACCCAGGAGCTTTGGGGTCAGAAGGAAAACCCTGGGGCGCGCTGGACAAGCCAAGGGCCCCTCTTGCTTGCTAACCTGGTTTGAGCGGGGTTGGCAGTCTGTCCCAGCCACCCTGCCCACCCTGCCCACCCTCCCTTGGCTGGCTGCCACGACCACCCGGTCGTCTTGGAACTGGCTGGGGAAGGGAAGGGATGAGAATGGAGAAAGCTGGCAGGAGGAGAGCGGTCAAGTGCCAGCCCCCGCAAGCCTTTCGATTCAGAGGCCAATTACCACAAGACAATGGCTTGCCGAGGATGGACGTTTGCTGTTTGCAGAGAAAAATTCCCAGGCCCTGCGAGGGGACGCCCGTCTCAGTTTTCTGCCAATGTTGTCTTTCCAGGATTGCTCAGATGTCTTGCATTTGAGGTCTGTGGCCCTAAAGGCATTGCCTCCCCAGTCGCTTCTTAATTCCTCTGGGTTCTCTCTGTGTGTGTGTGTGTGTGTGGTTAACTCTGCCCCTGCAGTTTGGGGAGAGCAAGCCAGCACTGGGATAAATGAGAGAGAGGAGAACAGGATGTGCCAAAGCTTGTGGACCGGTCTTCTCGCTGGCTCTTGTGCACCTCTGTGGAATCTGGAGAGAGCTGGTGGGGCTCGGAGGGGCTCGGAGGGGGGGAAGGAGTGGGGCTTTGGCGGAGGGCAGGTGGAGGGCATGCCGAAGGGCAGGGCTTTACTCCCACCTAACAAAATGCAGGAGAAGACCAGGTGCTGCATTGGGGCAATGGCAGGGCAAAAGGCGCCTTCCACATCTGGCCTACCAGCCTCTTGGGTGGCCTCCTGGCACGGGAGAGATCCAACTTGGGGACCTTGGGGGTTTAGGGTGGGGTGGAGGGCCCGATGGGGTGGCTCAGTCTTGCAGATGCTCAAAGCCCCCATTCAGATCAGAAGCCCCCTTCCAAGTGGGGGCCCAGCCCTGGCTGCTCTGAGGATGGAGTTGCACACCGGTGCCCTCTGGGCACTGGAGCGCTTGCGTGCCCTAAGGGGGCAGGGGTAATTCAAGGGGTCTCAGAAGGCCTCTGCAAACACAGTGGGCTCTTTGCACCAGGATTAATTGATGAAAGCTGCATAAATCTGTCCCACGGGGAATCTACGGCTGCATAACCCCCCTGCCTTCTCCCCCACCCCCCACAAGCCCTACATCCGTCCAGCCCCTCCACGCAGCCCCCCAGAGCTGATGCCGTTTAACGACCTTGTTAGTTAAGTTAGGGGGTTGGGGAACCAGATGTTGGATTTGCTGCATACGAGAAGAATACTTTATAAATACGGCGTTACTTAAAATGGGAGTGGAATACAGTTAAAAGTAAAGGTATTGATCCTCTGAGTCAGGTTCAAGAGCATGTCCGTGGAGTTTTTTTGGCAACAGCAAGGAAACCGTTTGCTCCTCGCCAATGTTTTTCAACTTCCCAGTCTGCCCGAAGATTTCCTTGTGGTCTCCCATCCAAGGAGTAAAATAAAGTCCAGGGCCTTCTAGAGCTCAACCTCCCACAGCCTCTTTACAGCTGAAAGGCCAGCTTAAATCAAAATGCTTTGTCTCTGAAGAGAAAGTTAACAGGGAAAGAGGGGATCCCCTCCCCAGAATCTGGGAGCTCTGCTGGCATTTCCATCAGATGTTATGCTGACAACAGAGGAGGGCATTAAGGGCCTCTCTAAAACATCTTAACGTCAGGAAAAGTTGTAAGGGAAGAATGGCCAGCTCGATCTCAAGCCATGTGTGGTTTTATTGGCCGAATCAGTCTTTTAAATCAGTGTTTCCCAACCTCAGCTATTTTAAGGTGTGTGGACTTCAACTCCCAGAATTCCCCAGCCAACATGCACCCAAGTCCATCCATCTCAAAGTGGCTGAGGTTGAGAAACACTGATTTAAATTACAGGCGAGGCATGTAAAAAAGAGGCATGGCTTTGCCTGGGCAACCACCCCCACCATCTTGACTTTTTTGACTCTGCCTGCTAGTTTCTCCTCCTTCTCCTTCCTGGGTCCCCCAGATCCTGGGTCCTACTCACCATCACGGCTGTGAGGATGGGCACCTGGATAAACCACTTGAAATAGCCAGCACTTAAGTCCCAGCACCTGCCAAGAAAAGAAAGGAGCAAAATATAGGAGAGAAACTTTTCCAAAGCTGTTTTACAACCTTGTTGTTGTTTTTAAAAATAGCCTTTGGGCCTAGGACATGTTTTCAGGGCTCAAAAGACCTGTTCCATTCATCCCAAATTTCACTGGAAAAGCAGACAAATTCATAAGAAAAGACAGGACAGCTCAGTTGAGCCTCCAGGTACAGGAGTAATATATCCTTAAAAAAAAACACAGGTGGTGGGGCTGAACAAGAATAGGTTTACTTACTTCAGTAACCACAGCTCCATACAGGAGGTTGGCTTAGAAGAGCATTTTTCAAACTTGGCAACTTGAAGATGGGTGGACTTCAACTCCCAGAATTCCCCAGCCAGCAAGGCTGGCTGGGGAATTCTGGGAGTTGAAGTCCACCCATCTTCAAGTTGCCAAGTTTGAAGAACATTGGCTTAGAAGGAGCCCTGCTCAAATCCTGTTTTATGCAACTGGTTTTGCAAAACTGCACTGATATGGCACATCAATTTTTTTAAAAAATAGTACACTCATTGGATTTGAGTGATACACACACACACACACACACACACACTAAGTGATGTTCATGTCATAAATGCAAAGCGAACTTCAGGAGGTATAAAATGTCATGGCTACACAAATTATGGCTATTAGCAAAACAAATCATATTGCGATGCGGGATAAAATATTCTCAAGCGCCGATTATTTTTCAAGAAGACAGGCAGTGTGTGCCCACACACGTGCGCACATTTATTTGAGCAAAAGAGAAAAATAAATAAAATAAGACCAGAGAGAAATCAAGTTTACATCGCTTTAGAGCTGCCAGTCTATTCGTTTGAGAATTTTCGGGGCCAAATTCCACGGACTCCATGTTTAAAGCGGCACGAAGCTCACCGAACATTTTTTCTGAACATCCCATTCTTTTCTGGGTAGTTTTGGCGACTTTTGATTTGGTACAGAAATGCAAATAAAACTTGTACGGCAGGATCCGGATTTAGATGCGGTGTTTTTGAAAAAAGGAAATCATGCAGAAAAGGGTCACTCGGGACTTACTCGGTGTCTGCTAATGCTGCCCGTAGGGTTGCCCAGATGGTGACAAACACAGCGGGAAGGCCTGGAAGAAGGAGAGCAAAATGCACAGGAGCGTCTCAGCATCATATATTCAGATAAATATTTGTGACCAAGGGTCACGTCCAATTTACTTTGCCCCCAGCACACCCCCAGTCGATCCCTCGATTCAGATCAGATCAGATCAGAGCAAGCACGCCCGCCCCTCACTTCAGCTACCCCCCCAAAAAAGGTATATTTCATAAATAAACATCAGCAAAACATGGCAACATTAACTGGCAAAAATGGAATAAAAAAAGCAGGGAGCAAGACAGACGTGGACAAGAGGCAAGAGATAAAAAAGCAGAGGGCTCGCTATCAAAAATCGGCATTTTCTGTATATCTATAGCTCTATAGGGAAAGGGCAGAACTTTGCAGATTGGGAATAATCTGCAGGTCATTAGCCATGGACTGTCCCAAAGAGAGTGGCTTTGGGTTGTTCCAGCTTTAATCCTTTTAGGTACACCACGGCAGCAGAATAGAGATGGAAAGTAGGCCACCAGGTGATCACAATTTGGGGGATGGGGACGATGTAGACAATAATTCTCCTGGGCCACCAGATAGCAAGAGATCTAATTTGCAAATCCAGGTGGCTCAGTGTGATCCAGTTCAGAAAGCTAAATCCTCTGTTCTCATATTCTTCACCCAGTCTTCCCTTCAGATGTTTCCGATCTGGATGTTGAATCTAGACAATATGGCACCCGTCTCTAAGATACACCATTATCTGCAGGAATGGAGGTTGTTTTCAGCCAATACGGGCCCGTTTCCCAATCCGTAGCCGTGTTACTCTTTGGCAGAGAAAAATAAATAAAATAAAAGTATCTTGCAGCGCCTGAAAGTCTCCACTGCATCATTTTATTTTATTATCACATAAAGTAATATAATTTAAAGCACATTCCAACGTGGACTGTAATACGCAGCAGCTTAGGGGATAATAAAATAAAACTGGTTAATTTTTGAGAGACACAATACTCTGCTTTTTTATGGCAGAGGAGTCAGTTAATGCAGATCAGACGGTTCAGGTTCAAGGCCAAAAAGTTTCGCTTCCAAGGTGGGGCCGGGCACGTCCCGTATCGTCTTCCTCCTTCAGCGGCTCTTTTTATTTTCCCTTTCCCCCAACTCAAAAGCCCCTCACCCCCCCCAT